ATGAAATTTATAATTATTTCAAGGTACTTCTAGCTGTTTTTAATTTCTTTTTTTCAATATTTTGAGGTGACTGAGTTGAGACTTAAAGTCACTGGCTTGCCAGTGCCTTGGAATTTCCCCTGGTGTTCAGACATAAAAACAAAGGTAAATTCAGTAGACAACTGCCCATGTTGGGGGTTGTTTGAGATGTCAAAATGTGGATAATAATGTCATGTCACATGATTTTTTTTTTCAATTTGTGATGTGAAAAATGACGTAAAAGGTAGCGATATAGTGTCACTTTTTTGCTTGTTTTTGCTGCTGTGGAAGGTGTGTTGCCTTGATCTGATGCCAGAGGATGTTAAACAGAGCTAGTTGAGAATGATGTGAAGGCTACTCATACCAAGGTGAGTATCACCCATGGATGTTGTGTGAGCCAATGAAGATACAAAAGGGGGTCTGAGTGAGATAGAAGAGGTTAACTTGAATATGCCCTTTAGCTTTTTTCTGTCACTGGTTTGTAAACAAAATTGATCTTTTTATTCCAAGCATAGAAAAGAGGAAAGGAGGGGAAAAAAATTACTGTTTTGACCACCATATTATTAATCCTCCATCAAATCTTGAGGGGACCCTAGCCATATGTAGAAGAAGGCAAAAAAATACCCTTGAGATGCATAAATCTCTCTGAAGGTTCAATATAAAAATTCTAGGACTATTGGAGGAAAAAAATTTCCCTCAACATTCTAGCAGAAGATTGCTTTTCACCATTGAATGCTCAAAAACAATTGGGAGGGACTTATTTAAATTGGTGGTTGGGTATAAAGCAAGAAACACTAGTGCTTCAGTCAACCAGCTTTGTTTACTCAGCCACACTGACCTGGAAACCATGACTATGTCCAATGGATTGCACAGTGAGTACTCTTCCACATTACTAGTGCTATCTACAATGTTTCATGAAAATATCTTTTTGTTGCAGCTGTTTGACCAAATGGCAGGAAAATACCAATCTTCTTGCATCAAGATTTGAGACAGAGAAATTGTCACGGCTGGAATGAAACTTGCCTAGTCTCATGTGTATCATACTTGTATCATATTGTGTAACTCTGAAGCTAGAAAAATGTGTAGCTTTGTAGGGATCATGTTTGGCCTTTTGTATCTAAAACTCATGAAACTTTACACCTGCACCATTTTTTGGCTAAATTTCAATTGCCCTTTGGGATCTATAACACCAGCCACAACTCATCCACTCAAATCTGGAATTATATTTTACTGAGCAATGAAAAAATACCTGATGGTTTTCAAGTCAATAGGATTGTTATCCTTCTTATTTCAAGAAATTCAATGCATGTCCCTCCCTGATGGTAAAATTTCATCTAGGCTTACTTGTATTCTTGAAAGTTTGTGATAGAGAAACTGATTGTGCATTTGGATGACAGAGTTAGCTTCCAATGTTGTTTGTATGGGGACAGAATCAACAGTTTTAGGCTCCAGAATAGGTCCAATTTCTGAAGATGATGCTCAGAGATGTCTGGCAAATATACCACAATTCAAAAATCAAGTCAAAATATTACCAACAATTAGTAAGTTAGAATAATTAAGATACAAAAATCACTAAAAAATATGCTATGTGACCACTGACTGGACCATATTCCTGAAATTTTAAGCTCAAGTGGATCATTTTCCAAAGGAGGATAAATTTTTTCCTTTGATGGGAACCCTGTGTACCCATCTCAAAGCATGTCTTCATGAACTTGCATCAAAATACCCCACAGAGGGAGGGAAGCTACTTGATCTTTTTGAGAAGATGGACTCATTCCAAAAGTTAATTTCAGATTGGAAGATTGAGGATGAAGTCAATCATACTCTAACAACCAAAAATTCTGTTTCAAGTGGAGTCTGTCAGAACTCATGGGAAAGCTTACACTTCAAAGAGATTGGGAAAGATCTACCTTGGAATCAGATGGGAATTAGGAAATACATTCACTTTCAGGAATTCATGATCAACAATCCCCATAATATAGATCAAGTTTTGCCAATATGGAAAGGACTAGCAAAGGGAATGTCAAGTGAACAACCCAAGAAAGACTTCCAATCTGAAGAAATAGGATCCAAAGGGGTAACAAACCCTCCAGATGAATATACATTATTGGATCTAGACAGAGATGCAATTGAAATTATAAGGGAAAAGGTGCTAGTTGGTTTTTTAGGTGGAATTTTGGATGATATAAATTCATTCCAAATAGAAGAGATAATAGAAAGATTTAGATTGAGGGATGAGGCATCAGCCTTGGAAATTCAAGATAAAATTCCCAAATTTCTCCAAATACTTGTTGATTCAGCATTCAAAACAGCTGATTACATGTACAAAAAGCACTTGATATTGGCAGAAACTTTGAGGGATTTTATTGGGCATAAAGATACAATGGAAATGGCTGCAGTAAACATGATCAAAATCTTCACCATTCATTATGATCAAGAAAAGGAACTAGCTGGAGGAATTACAAGTATTTTTGCTATACTCAGAAACTGGAAATTTTCTCATTACAGGACTTTCCTTGAAGGTAAGACCCAATCCAAACCAAAACATTATTTTGACATTATTAAAAGTCACTGATATTTTTTTTACATTTAAACATTGATACTGCATTAGTTTTGGGGGGAAAAGAAAAAAATATTTCTTATACTTGTCCCTGAGGCAATTTTTTGTTACAAAATTTGGGAATATCACTACAGATGTAATGGTCTCATTGGGTTTGATCAATACACAAGATTCAAGATTTTTTGAAAGATTAGAAGAGTATCTTGAAAGAAAAAAACTACAAGAGGGCAAAAATCAATTTGAAAATGAACATATGAATTACGAGCTGAAGCAAGACATTCAAAACCTTGTCCATTTATTTACTATTCAAGCATCTTATGCAAATTATTTTTTAAAGTTATATTCATTCTTTATTTTGGAATTTTTGGTGCAGACATATGGGAAGGAAATTCTGAAATTGAATGAAATTAACCAAATTACAGTGTACAAAATTGATCAGGTCTCTGACAGCTTACTGTATTATGAAGAAATGAAAGTTTTTCAACTTTATTTGAAAGAAGGTCATCATCAGTGGTTACCTCAAGGGCTTCATTACTATTGTCAACTTGTCCATCCAGGAAAAAATAAGGATAAAAAGACTGTTTCCAAAGAGCTTTCAGCAATTTCAAGCTACACAAAGATTCTATCTTCAAAACATCAGCACATTTTGGAAAATTATGAATTTAATCAAAATTGGTATTTTATGTGGCACTCCAGCCGTAAAAGCCAAAGTAATTTAGAAGTCCTTGTGGAAGATGAAATGAATAAAATTGAAATGAAAGATCATTTAGTTTAATTATCCAAAAAATTGCCTGGGTTCAATTTATTCCAGTGGAACAAAAATAAAATGAAAACACCCTTCTGCAATGAAATTAGATCAAATTTTATAAATCTTACAGTTTCAGAGTCCTTCCTCCCCATATCGTAGTGGTATTTCAACATCAATTCATACATGGATTTTGGCTCATAACTTCTTACAGCATCCCTACTAAGCTTCAAGAATCATCTATGAACTAAAATTTATTTATGAATTTATGCTTCCAAACTCAAACCACAACTTTCAATACCCCCACTCAAATAAGACAAAATACAAAAAAACACACATAAAAATAAGAAAGAAACAAAAACATTGTTCTAGGATCTCATTAGATGAGAGTTTATAATCTGTACAGTTTAAAGGTTTTCAAGATGCTTGTATGCAACACTTGAGCAACACCAAAAGGCTCTCTCAGGTTCCATTACTCATGACACATGTCCAGAAAACAAATATCCTTCATCCACATGATACTCTTGAGAAATACCCAAATAAATCAACCCCCAGGATAAAATAGACCCCACAAAAAGTCAAATGTGCTGATATTCAAACAAAATTTGGTGCTTATGGCCTCGGTCTATTTACATCTTGAAAAAAAACCAAAGGAATTCAAGCTATTGGTTCTCCTCTTGTTCCAACTGTGCCAGTGCCACATTGTGCCTGTCCAGTGTTACAGTGCCTTCTGAAAACTACCCTCATTTTTGTTATGTCTCTCTCTCCCATTGTTTCTCAATCTAACAGCCAATAACCATCAATCTTTTCATCTACCCAAACCCATGCTCAAAGTGAGTATATACTGTGATCAAGGACAAAGCTGTTCTTTGCTCCAGATTGATATATTTCAATACGAAAGAACTTGAGAGAAACTTTGTGTTATTATTGCATACCTGTTGTGCTAAGATGGACCAATGGATGATTTTAGTCTGTTGGCCCACACGACAGTAGCACTTGCAGTCCCCGACATCTGAAACCGGTGAATGAAGCTCCTACTTCAGCTTGCCTTATCTGGTTATTTCTTGATGAACAGGGGGTTTGGATCAGGTGTCAAGCCTGGTTCAGTCTTTGGCAAAGTCCAATTCTAGTAGCAGTTAAAAATGGGGAGAGATAGGAAGAAGATGCCTTCTGTACTGCAACCATGAAGAGCCTTAATCAGGTCACTGCTGATCCTCCAATTAGAACATCTATTATTGGGAGTTTCACCTGGTGGCTATTGAGGTTTCAAACTTGACGTGAAGGTGTGCTGATCAAGCACTACAATCAAATTTTCCGATGATAAATTTCAGAATGTTAAGAATAGAAATGAAAACAGAAGAAAACTGCAACAGATTAAAACTAAAACTAACTTCATGAAATAAATTAAGAGGGCAGTATACAAATTACCATGACAAAAACTTGAACTAAATTTAGGAACCGGCTTGGAGCTCATTCTACTTCTTGTCGGGCCAACATTTAGGGCATACAAATACTCCTCCTTTCTCCTCCCTTTGGTTTATCTCTTGTACTTTAGTTGTTCTCTGGAAATGTCCAGTAGAACGTTGAAACGCAACCTTGATACTTCTCAATTCTTTTTGCGCATGCATTTGCCCTCGGTATGAATGGTATGATAATGGACTCGGATTAAGGTGCTCTCATGATCGCTGTCATGGATAAAAACACGATCCAAACTAATTTGAAGTATTCATCCCAGCTCCCCGCGTGAGAATAAGAACCGTCTAGCACCGTCCAGCAGGGTTTCAGTTTGGAATCTGATTCCATGGATCTCTATGCATTGGCAAGAGCTGTGTCGACATAGGGGCATGGATGGAAAAGGTGTGCTCGTATTCAACTAGTTCAGCTCCGATCATTTGACCAGTAGCCTGAAAGAGATCCTCAACATCAGAAACCCCTATTTGTGAACAGTGGATCGGAATAAAACCAAACAAGTAAACGGATTTTTTTTTTCCACTACAAAGATTCCACAAGAAGATACAAAGCGCAAATCAAAGCAATTGCAAATAAAAAAAAATTACATTCGAGCATTAGAGAAGTAAAACCTATTCGACCATTTGACAGCTTCCACATGATGGCTTTGGAGCATCTCTTCAGTTGGAATGACCAATTTTTCCGTTCGATTCTTCTCGGGATGCCGATTCACATAGCGGCCAGTACCAGAATCACCATCATCGCCCTGCTGGTGCTTGACCAATTCTTCGCCCTCTTCCTCTTCCCCGCTCTCCTCATCATCATTGCGGATGGCATAGCTTTCGATTTCACAGATCCAATCCTTAACAAATTCGTCGAGCCCGGCGAGCCGGTGGGTGATAGCGGAAGATTTATAGATCCAATAGTATGCTCTGATCAATAGATCTTGGTTCGGTTTGACGCCAATCGTTTTCATCCAGCTCAATAATAACGGGATCAATTCGGATTGCTCATGGAGTCCGAGCAATTCGATCATGTCTTTGAAGCTCGACCGGTTGGGTATAATTTTTGTCCATCTCGTCTTAAATCCCAAGGAGGGGATGATCGTCGCCGCAACTTTGCTTCGAGCCTTGTCCTGGGGGTCTGCCGATCTGGATGGGGTTGCCGGAATGCTGGGCAACGACTTCAATCCGCACAGCGTGTCTAAAAGTCGAACATGCATCGTTGTCGGTGCGCTACTCCACATCGATCCGGAAAGTGCGGGGGCCCGGACAGTTTCAGATAGCGAAGCCCAGTTCTCGTAGAGGATCGTCCAGAACAGCCGTATCGCCAAGCTTCCTGCCGGTTCGCCGTCCCAGTAGTCCTCTTCCACTCGCCGTAGAGCATCCGAGTCCGGTTCGGCGGAGCGCAGCATGGCATTCGAGACTGGAGACATGCTGTACCGAGTAATCTTCCTTGCCGAAGATAATAGAGTACTGAAGATTCGCGTGTCAGGTTCGACTTGCCAATCGCTTTGGAAATCTTTCCAAAGTTGATAAACTTCTGAATATCTTCCGGCAATATCAAGGGCACGGGCGTAGGTGGACAAGACCTGGAGATTTACCAGATTGTTCGCTTGGCCAGAATCCTTGGCGGTAGAAGTGTGCGAGAGCTTCATGTGGGAAGCAAAACGATTGAATATCTGAACAGCATCTTCCGGCCGACTAACATCGATGTGGATTGCCATGGCGACCTGAATTGCAGCTGCATCAGGTACGACGCCTTTGAACATCATCTGCTTCCAGACCTGCACAGCCATCTTGGGAAGATGGTGACGAAATAGGGTCGACATGTAGGCGGTGTAAGTTTCGACAGAGGCCCCGGGAGGCTGGCCTTCGATTTTAGGGAGATGGGATAGAAAGCGTTTATGGAGTTTCTCGGAGCTGGAGTAAGCCCTCAGCTTACATCTTCGGACCTGATGGAAGGCAAGATCTAGTTCTATCTTTGAATCGTGCATATCTTGCTCTGCCTGGCTTTTCCGAAGTAGCTGTTCTATTTCAGTTGCCCGATCTCGATCGCCAATGTGGATCATTGCCACCATGGCCAGCCGTAGGGTAGAAGCGGGCAATTTGAGCTTGAGGATTTGATCCATTTCTTCACGTTTTATTGCATGTCCTTCGGGGGACAAGATCGAGGTAATCATTGCGCGACAAAAAAGGTGTTTGTTTGGCTTTGAGAGTCGATTTAAAGCTGATGGTAAGCTGCCGCAAAGATTGATCAAGGCCTTGATGAGTTGGCCCAAGAGTCTGAAGATTGGGGTCCGATTGCGAGCAGCAGGTTGGCTCATCAATCCGGCTATGACTGATAGTAGGGGCTTGAGTGCAAGAGTCGAGTCAGGCGGCCGTTTCGAGCTCGTAGGAAGATTTGCTGAATGAGAACTCGGGCATGATTGTTTTTCGATTTCAACTCGAGCAATCTCAGTTGAGAAGCAAATGGCGTAATTGACTACCTCGCCACAGACGACTATGTTTCCGAACGAAAGACTCGCCTGGACAGCGCCGTTTAACAATTGGGAGGTCACGAGAACATCTCGTTCCTCGGCGATCCGATATCCAAGTACTGTCAGCAGCTCATCAAGTTCCGTCTGATTCCTGAGGGTCTTGCTGGCTAATTCGCCCAGTAAACTTGAGGGGACTTGGCTGACCCATGACTGATGGCCATCATAGAGTTGGTCGATGACGGCTATTGCACTGGTCCAATCGGGTTGCTGGAGCGCCTTCACAAAGCCATCAAGCTGCGTCCGATCAAAAACTTGTTTCTTGAGCCATCTTTTGAGCTCTAGTTTTGCTATCTGCTTGGGGTCTGTAGCGAGGATCCGAGTAACATATCCTACGTTGGTAGCATGCTGCTTCAAGATCGGCAATGGATTGTATTTCTTGTCTTGAGATACTTCAGAATTGGATTTGTCTTGAGGTTCGGGGTTGAGCTTAGGGGTTGGAGTGGACTCTGCGGGCGAAAAAAAAAAAGCCGCAATCAGTAAAAATGCCACTTTGGTGTTGATGTGAAATTAATTTACTAACTTTGGATAGCAGCGGTAGAATTTGACTGTAATTGGCTTGGTCCATCGATTGAAAGCAACAAGTTTCTTGGAGGGTATGAGCGGAGCTTGCGAGTAGTTAAAACTGATTTGAGTGGATGCCATGCTCGGATGATGACCATCGGTGTTGAGTGTCAGCTGGGAGGGAGGATGATTTCTGGCCACTAGATTTCGACAGGCTATCAATCGGCCAGACAATTTGTCGTGCTGAAGTCCGCATGTGCACCATAAATTCGAAGACAGCCGAACGGGCCCTAGTATGAGGAACGTAAGTTTGTAAACACCAGACTAGGAAGCTGAGAAATAGAATTAAATGCTTACCGGTAAGATGGGCCTGCAGACAAGTTGGTAAAATAATGGTTTTGCTTGGAGGGTGTGCTGTGAGGTGGGCCAAATATCCGCTGAGCTGCGGCTCTGTGCTGCGGGGCAGCCTGCCTTCTCTCTGAACAAGCCCCTTCGGAATGGACCAACCAACCCATATGCCTTGCAATAATTTTGCCAGAATTCAAGCTTTTCCAAGATCCCCCTAATGATAAGACACAAGGTTCATGAAGTAGTTAATGGTGAGGAACTGATGGAAATGGGAATGAAGTGACTTAACCCATTAAATACAGTCGAGCCTACTCACAGCGACTCTAACAATCGATGGTCATTTTGATCAGGAGTGATACATAAATACAAACGTCTTTGATGACGTCAATTGTTCAGGGCTTCTTGGCAAGATTCCGGTGAAGTAGATCTAGTGAAAGGGATGAAGAATAATAAGTTTGATGAGATTTATTGTGTCTCGATCTCTCTCTAAAATGAATTTACGAGGAATCAAGTCAGGATTCGTATTCCAAGAAACACAAGTCGGGTTTCCTCCTTCTATGGTTGAAAGTTTTTGCAAAGAATTTTTGACAAAGGCCTCCCTCATCACGATTGTTCTCAATACGTCTCCTGTAGGGGCTCCACCTTTTCATTAGCGATGATTGGTTGCAATGATTCATTGTAAAGAACTCAAAAGAACTGTTTACTAGGTTTCCATTCTTTTGCTCACAGAGGATGGATGATGTGGGCATGAAGAATCTCAGATAGCGGCACAGGTCGAGTGTGGATGGACCGTGGAAGGATGAGGAACTGGTTCCCTCCCTCCGCGGTCACTGATTCGATTAAATATGTGACTCCACAGAATGTCACAGAGCGACGAGTGCAAGTGCAGGTGGCATATCACCAAGCAGACTTAATTTTATCTATGTGTATCAAGGAAATTTGATGAAAACTCTAGTAATTAGACACAACCATGTCACACATGAGGGAAAAAAAAGGGTAACATGGTAATTTTCAAGATAATCAATTTTCAAACGTCCTCAGGTTACTTCGCGGAAATTGGATGGAATCTTGGGTATAATCAGATAGAACTATGTCACACAGGAGAAAAAGAAAGGATAGCAAAGTTATTTACTTGATTTGTTCACGTCCTAATAAGTTCAGGCACCGAGATGGTGGTTGCGACAATTCGGATGAGTGATGTGGTGGAAATTTTCGATGAATATAGTTGTGAGGGTCGTTACGAAATCATTTACTAGATATCAGGCCCTGATAGCTCAGGGACTTCATGACACCCATGTCTGTTGTAATCATCGTACCAGACTATCAATGGATCTTTGTGGCTCCGGTTAATCTAGACAATTTAGATTGGGTGAGTAATTTATAATTTGATGGTCAGGAAGCGCTCCTGCTCGGCGGAACTGGCTAGCGTTCAGCCAAGCGGATGATGATGGGAAGATCTCGACTTACGACGTCCCCCACCGACTGATCGCAGCACGTGTTTACTGGAGTTCCGACGGGAAGTTTCGAGTGCTCGCATGTCACGAAATCACCGAGAGGAATCTTCGGTTTGCCGGCCGGGCCGACTGGACAATCACAGCAAGGGAGAATTGGGCAGATCCAGAGATGAAAGGGTTTTGAGCTTGGAGTCAGCCAATCGGGTCATCCTATTCTTCATATCAGAGTTCGATAGTAAACACACAGGCATAGTTTATTGGTTGGGTTAATCTGTCCTCGAATACACAATATGCATTCGGGCATTCGAAGGGCGCATATTGCCCTGTAGCGCAAGCGATTACCATGAGGAGCATGAAGATCACTGAGAGCATGTTGGAGAAGTTTGAAAAATGCATTTGGTAGGAACTTGTGATCGGGTTGATGGTGCTGGTCCAGCGGCGCTCGTGCAGGTCAGGAGGTTTAGAGCGTAGAGACTCGCGATAAAGTGACTAAAAAAAGAAGATAGGAACTCTGGATTTCTAGAGAAAGAGATTTCTAGACAACTTGCGAAAAACCCCACCCCTACATGTTAGCTTTCCGAAGTAAGGCGTAGGTGGGCGTCGTCCACGGCGCCGCCGTCATTCCATTTAAAGGCCCCGTAACCAGGCTGCCCACGTGAGACTACACGCCCCCTCGGCCGGGCTACCGGAAACCGGATTTAGAGAAGTACATAGCTCCCCTGTTTTCCCCCAGGTATCGCTCTATCCCTTCGACTCGCCTTCCCTTCACCTTTCCCACTTGAAGAATATTTCTATCCTCCGTCTCTAGAAATTATCTTCAAAAATTTTTCTCTTACCACCCACCCACCCAGGCAAATGTAAGAAAAGGGTTGGGTCGAGCTTCGGCTCTACTCAACCGGTGTGTCATCCTGCTCCGGGGCGAGATGGATGAGCGGAAAAACAGACCAAGTGTGGTCTTCAGGTTGGGCGAACTTGGGGGGGAAAACAGGGGTAGAGTGGCCGAGCTTCGGCGAACTCAGAGAAGAAAACGCCCCACCAAAATAGCCTTGTGATGCCCTTATCCTGCACACGCGGGCTGCTTCACTGTGGTATAAATGGGGGGGGGGGGGTTCATAGGAGCCCCTATCCCAGGGTTTGCTGGGGCCCTGAGGATGGCCTGATGATGGCATGTGCGGTAGTTATACGGGGGTGGGTTCCCATCGGCGATCACTTGGTACCTACTTGTTGAGCAATCTTCATCCCCCAGGTAGCCGGTGAGAATAATGGGTCTATGTATGTAGAAGTACGTGTCTTCAAATCTTACGCGTCTTGCGTAGCTCAAGCTGAGTGACCTTCATTAATTATGGAAAGAATCATCGGCCTGGGCCAGAGTAAAGTATCCCCAAAGGATGAAGCTCTCAACACTCAGTCAAGCGTACCATAGTCAGTTCACATCTAAGTTTTAGCCGCACTGATGGCATCAGTCCTCTTAGCTCGTCTTAGACTACCACATACTCGAGCGCTGACAAGAACCAACAAGCCTTGTACACCAGGGTAAAGTAAGCATATAATGGAGATTTTATTTTCGCCTCAGGCGGAGGAAAAAAGAAGCATGTAACAGCGTTCCTCCTACTCCATGCATCTTTTTACTTATTCTCCTTATTGGAAAATCTGCCCTTGACACTAAAGCAAGCCGAGGGTAGACATCTTCCAACTGTCCATGGCTGAGTTCGCATGTGGGAAATCCTTATCCTGAGTGACTGAGTGAGCATGGGACTCAGCCTCATCCCACACATCATCTTAAAAGGTGAGCCAAGGTGAGCCAGTCATGGCAGCGCTTAATTTCATCAGACACTTCTCCAATGACTTCGCCAGATATTTCCACTGCCGCAGTTTCCAAAATGGCCGTTCCGACCCCTACGCCTCGAAACCCGAATCAGATACAAAGTGAATCAGCAAACCCTTCAGTCACTACTATTAACATTGTGACCACGATCGAGAAAACCGTGACAGTCGGATTGCCAACAGCTGTCGCCCAGGTCCCCAGCGCAAGAGCCTACGCCAAAGTCAACCCAGTTACATGGGTTCCCCTTGTGATTCTCGCAATCCTTTTCCTATTTGGAGCGATGGTGGTCGGGTGGGTGATCTTACGAAGAAAGATGGGAAATGGCTTTAGAGTATTACTGCCCGCTAGGAAGCTTCGAAAGCTCCCGAGACAGAAACGGAAAATCGTTGGATCGCCTGTCTGTGCAACCGGCGAAACGCTTGATTTTGAAAATTTTGCGATCAACAATCGGCCCCCTCCGACTGTCCCGGCCAAAAAAAAGAATCCACGCTACAAAGATGTGGAGATGACTCGCTTGATCCTTGAAGGCAAAGTCCCTCGTCCACCCCCTAGCCCATTCAAGCCACTACCTCCTGGAATAGCCTGAAAGCTGGCGGATTGTTCTCATAATTTTTTCATTTTCATTCTCTTCACATCAAGTCCTTGGACCCTATCCCCGCTTAAAAATCCCAACTGGCTTGTGATATCGGCATCCATCCTATTTCCCAAATGCACCCTCGAATAACTTCACTCCGTTTATAAATAAATAAATTCTTAGTACATCTGTTTCTCTCTATGATTGCCATGTAAGGTGACTGCTGCCACTGGTTCATTGCCCTTGAAGGTGGGCATTTTCTATACAAAAGAGAACAATCAAAAAAAATTGCTTCAGTCCTATAAAATAACACCCAATACTTTGAATGTTTTCTTGGATCTTTACCTGTTGCTTTCAAACTGGGCAGGAGACATAAGCACAAGTAATTAGGTTAGCCCACATAGGAGCCTCAAATTGTTCTGGCAAAAGGAGGACAAACACGTGGCTCCAAAAAATCCAACTCAGTACTTTGTAACAGTGTTCAATTTCCAATGTGACTCATAGCAGAGCATCAGGAAAAATAACTTGGATTCAGACTGGAGAAATGAACCAGTATATATACCTTTTCCATTAACCTGATTCACAAATCAACTACTTCCAAATTCTCAAAGATCATTGTCCTAAGGCCCTTGTGAAATTTCATATTTTCATGTCTGGATTTCAATCTAAGCTCCATCATGAATCACTCTCCAGATCGGTTGCAGTTTAATCTGAAGGAAATATGAGTTCATTTTTTGAATCATTTGATTTCCAAACCATTTTTCAAGTCAGAAAAATATATTAGTTCCTACACAAATAGGGGGTCGGAGAGGAATCCCTCTAACCTCAAGACTGACAGACCAATTTCAAATGGTGGAGGACACCATTTTATTCAGGGTTTCCTCCTTAAAGGAACTCCCTTCCAATTCAAACGGAAAGACACCTCACTTATTCATTGGCATGAAGGTCAACCTGTCAAACCAATTGGTGTACAGCCAAACACAAAGTAAATTAGAGGTATATGAGGTCAGAGACCTCTTTCTATGTGTGTGCTCATAGGGGGTGTGTTTATAAAAGATCAAGGATGACTGATACTTCATTTTTACAAAAATGGAAGACTTCCCGCAATTCAGAGCCTCAAAAGCTAGATTTACCAGCAAAATTCTAGACTTTTTGGGTCTCAATTGAAATCTGAAAGGGTCCCAGATCTGATGGGAAGTCCTCAAATGTGTTTGTAAAGGAAGCAGCCATTTCATCTTATCAGCAAAAATTTTCTTTTGTGAAAAGAGAAGTCTTCATGGTTATAATAAAAATGTAAAATTGGATAACAGATTAGACTATTTAGCATGAAGTAGATCAGACTGGAAAGACTTTGATCCATGCATATAATCCACTTCTTTTTCCAAAAGGGCTACTACATTGTTTCTTGTTTCATGATTAGAATGCCACAATGAGTTCCAATGTCTCCACATATAATCATTCATGAGGATTTTTTGATTTTTTGAAAGAACAAGACTTGTGTAACTTGAGATTGCTGAAAGTTCTTTGGACACAATATCTTCAGTCTTGATGATTCCAGGATGTTTATGTTCACAATGATAATGAAAATCTTTGGAAACCCAATGATGATTACCTTCTTCCAAGTAACATTGAATGTTTTTAATTTCTTCAAAATAAAGCAAGCTTCCAGAAACCTGATCAATTGCTTCCTTTAAGCTTGAGTTAATTTCATTCAATTGCAAGATTTCCGGGCCGTAATTCTGCACCAAAAATTGAAGGATAAAGAATGAATACAATGCTGACAATAAGTCCTCATTAGATGCTTGAAAATGATGGATAAGCATTTGAATATCTTGCTTGAGTTCATTATACATATCTTCATTTTTGAATTGACTGTAACTATCTACTTGTAGTAATTTGGTTTGATGATACCATTCCAATCTTTCAAAAAATCTTGAATCTTGAATCTTTGAGCAAAAGTAGACCACAATATCTGCAGTTACATTCAAAAATTGAACAGCCAAAAACTGTCTGAGGGACAAGTATAAAAAATGTCTTTTCTCTTTTACCTCCAAAAACTCTTGGAAATGAGGGAAAAAAAACACACAAAAAGATGATCAAGTTACAAATCATGATCACTGATTTTTCTTATTCAATTGGGATGAATTTTGTCTTACCTTCAAGGAATTTCCTGTAATGTGAAATTTTCCAGTTTCTGAGGATAGCATATATACTGGAAATTCCTCCCATCAATTCATATTTTTTACCATAATGAAGATGGAAGATGTTAATCATGCTTATTGCAGCAAACTCCAATGTATCTTCATCCCCAATAAAATTCCTCAAAGTTTCTTTTGATATCAATCTTTTTAGGTACATGTATTCAGCTGTTTTGAATACAGAATCAACAAGTATTGGGAGGAATTTCTGAGTTTTCTCTTGAATGATCAAGGCTGATTTGTAATCTTTGACTTCACAACTTCTCACAAGTTTTCCTGCTTTGAATGATCTGATATCATCCAAAATCCCACCCAAAAAAACAACAAGGACCTTTTCCCTTATTATGTCCATTGCATCTCTATCTAGATCCATTAAGGATCCTATTTCCTCAGATGGTAGGTCATTTGTGGGATGTTTGCTTGATTTTCTCTTTTTTAGTGCTTTCCAGATTTGCAAGACCCCATGATCCAGATTCCAGGGTTTGTTGAATATAAATTCCTGAAAGGGCAAGTACTTCCTAATTTCCATCCAAGGTAGATATTTCCCAAGTTCTTTGAAGGGTAAACTTTCACCTATTTTTTTGAAGATTCTACTTGCAATCGAGTTATGGTTTTTTTGAGGAGTATGAACTAAATCTTGATCAATTTTCCAGTCTGAAATTAATTTTTGGAATGAGTCCATCTTCTCAAAAAGTCCAAGTAGTTTCCCTCCTTTGGTGGGGTATTCTGAAGAAAATTCATGAAGAGATTCTTTGAGGTGGGTACACATGGTTCCTGTCAAAGGAACAAAAGCACCTTTGTTTGGAAAATGTTCAATTTGGGGATTGAAATTTGAGGAATATATTCCAATCAGGGGTCACACAGCATGATTTGTAGTGTGTTTTATATGTCAATTCCTTCTTCTAACTTACTCATCATTGGTGATACATTCAATTGCCTGTTGAACTGTGGGATAGTTGCCAGAAATCTCTGAACCTCTCCTTCTGGCATTGGGCCTATTCTGGAACCTAGCACTTCTGTTGTTTTCCCCGTAGGGATAACTGTGGAAGCTACATCTGACATCCAAATAATAAATCAGCTTCTATAATCCAGGAATTTTTGAGAAGATGAGAATAGATAAAATTTAATCACCAGGTAGAGCCATGCAGTCACCCCTGTCAATACTAAACAGACTATAGTATAGTCTATGTACGACATGTGGCTAGCCTTCCTTACAGGATGTTCCCACATCTCGATTTGTCTCGCTCGCGGCCGGTCAATCTCGGTGGGCCCCCGGGGTTTTTTTTTTCACAGCGGACCGGTTGCACTACCCAGGTGGCCGCGCCGGGAAGAACAAGCTTGGCAAAGCCATACGTTCCTGGATAAGTAAGGTTATAACGGTCAGTACCCCTCAGCTTCCATACCCTCGAGCTCCACCTCTGTCCAATAGACCTATCCCCACCCCCACCTCCTCAGCTCCACCTCTGTCCGATCGGCTTGTCCTCAGCTCCACCTTGGTCCGATCGACTCGTCCTCAGCTCCACCTCAGTCCCTCGTCCTCAGCTCCACCTCGGTCCGATCAACTTGTCCCGTACAGCATCAACCAACACCATCGAACTCTGGCCTCAGTAACCACCGGTGTCAGTAACCAGGATCGTTGCTTGTTCGTCGTTGTCTTGTCACTCCATCGTTCTCAGTCACTCGTCCTCAGCTCCACCTCGGTCCGATCAACTCGTCCCGTACAGCATCAACCAACACCATCAAACTCTGGCCTCAGTAACCAGGATCTTTGCTCGTTCGTCGTTGTCTTGTCGCTCCATCGTTGTCGTCGACTCAACCCTTTGTAATCTCAATCGTTGCGCGATCGTCGTCGTTGTCTTTGGCTCAACCCCTCAACCTTTTACAGCATCGATCAATCGCAACATAGGAGCCTTTGAATCATTGAACAGAGTAAGCAGCTGTTATTTTTCAGCCCAGACATCATTGATTCATGTTTTATTGATCCATGTTTGTTTACTATTTCTTGGCTGGCAGTTGACATATTCTAAGCAACATGGTACGCAACCGACCACATGGTACTGCACACACTATCAATACTGGGACCTCTCGCCGTAGTCGAACATCACGATGGGAAACCAGACACGTTGAACAACTCAGGCAAGATCAAGCTGCTCAGGATCAAAACATTGACATCGCTGAAGAACTGGGTCATATCCCGCGTCGACCTCGAAGAAATCCAGTTCATCAACCTCAGCCAGCCCCAAACAATGCTCCCAATCCCCCAGATCAACCATACCCAGCTTATGAGCCCCTCATTGGTAGCTGGGTTGATGAACCACTTGATGCTCCCATTGAAGATCTCCCCACCACAGCTCATGCCGCATACTACCGTGCTCGTCGCTATGCTGAAAACCGAGAGCAAATCAGTCAACGCTGGAGCCAACTTGAAGATACCATCACAGCAACATTTTCTGTCTGTCAAAAACTCTCATACAACTGGACCGAGCCATCAGACAAATACGAGGTTCTACCAGAGACATGTACATGTCCCCCGTCCGATATCCACATCCGAAAGGTGGACTTATTTGACTTAACAGGTAAGCCTTTCCTTTGGGTCACAGCAATCCTGTGGATCTGATCTTCTGACACTTTGTCATCTTCAATTGTGTGTAGATCGGCGTGTGGCAGAAAAAGTGCCCTTTTGCAAGTGCCTGCCTGATGTTGTTCGCCTCATCAATTATGGATATCTAGCCAGCTCCCCAGAAAAGCCCCGCACTGCCTTCTCAATTCGACTCCTCCAATTCCACCACAAGCTCTGGCAATCTTCCACCAGGGGAAATTTCAGGGCACTGGTTGCCCAGTGACTGCATGTCACCATAAAATCCAACAAAAATCACAAAAAATCACTTTGGTAACGAACCTGAAATTCCCATATTTTTCACAGTATTGAAAACTGATTTTCTCATATCTTTCACTCAAAATTCAGACAAAATTCAAAATAAAATACTATCAAAGTCACTAGAGTTTCCTCATGTGATGAGTTTTTTATTTCACTTCTAATTTACAGAAATAGTAAATAGAATCAGCACAGAATGATTTTTTCTGCAGCCCCAGCATAAAAGTTTGAAAGTCTCTTGATCAGATCAGGATATTCTTTGTAGATTTAGATCCTCTCACACCAGTCAATTTCATCAAACTTATCATTTCCAGTTCTAAATCTAATACATTCTCAGATAGATTCTTGAATTCATTTCCCCTAGTACAATAAAAAAAGCCTCAAAATTACCCAAGTTTTAATAAAATTCAAAAAAAAAACTGTAATTTCTTCATATAAACACAATACAATCAATAAGATGAGCTTTAAAAAACTCAATCATGAGACAACAAAATTTCTAAATTGAATTCACGAGAGGGTGATTTTTTCATGGGTCCTATGGGACGGCGGCAGAGAATCATGAGAAAAAAGGAAAAAAACAAGGCTGGGAGGGGTTTCCTCAAAGCCTGAAGACTATAAACTCATAGCAGCTCATTGGGAGAGAACCCTCCCAACGAGCTGGTTTCAAATCCAGCCCATTGGGAGGAAACCCTCCCGGGATTAAGACCAGCTCATTGAGAGGTTTTCCTCCCAATGAGCTGGTACACAATCCAGCTCATTGGGAGGAAACCCTCTTGATGAACTGGGCTTAAGACCAGCTCATCAATAGTTTTTCCTCCCGATGAGCTGGTCTTAAGCCCAGTTCACCGGGAGGGTTTCCTCCTGATGAGCTGGTCTTAAGCCCAGTTCATCGGGAGGGTTTCTCCCCAATGAGCTGGATTTGAAACCAGCTCATTGCGAGGGTTTCCTCCCAATGAGCTGCTACACAGTCCAGCTCATTGGGAGGTTTTACTCCTGATGATCTGGTATCAGGCCCAGCTCATTGGGAGGGTTTCCTCCCGATGCGCTGTATTCAAAGCCATCTTGTTGGGAGGAAACCCTCCTGACATGAACCTATGAGCTTATGGTCTAAGGCTGGGAGGAACCCCCTCCCAGCCTTGTTTTTGTTTTCTTTTTTCTCAGGATTTTCCGCCGCCGTCCTATAGGACCCATGCCTGGGTCCTATGGGATGGCATTGGTCCTAAATGCATATGTGTACATATGCATTTAGGAATCTTTGACGTGCACTGTGCAGGCCTGCACGCTGGTATACACTCTGTAGATTGGTGTGCGGGCCCGCACGCCAATTTGCTTTGGTGTGCAGGTGCACACACCAATCCGCACCTGGCGTGCGCAAGGGGGTTATCATGCCCCCTTAATCAAACATGAGCCTTCCCTGAATTGGAAGGAATTGATCTCAACAAGATGGTTCTGACACCAGCCATCTGGGAGGGAATGTGGACTCCTCCTTACGATCTGAATTTAAAATCAAATTGTTGGTGGGAATCCCTCCTGAAAAACCATTACTTAATGCATTTTGTTGGGAGAATTCCCTCCCAAAAAAACTGTGTCAGATAGCAGCTTGTTCATAGGTTTCCTTCTTGGTAATCTGTTATTCAACCCAGCTCATTGCAAGGAACCCCTCCTGATGAGGTTTAGGCTGCCTACACCAAATTAGGAGGTGTTCCTCGGAACAAACTGGATTTCATCTGGGTTTAATACCAACTAATCAAGAACTCATCCCAATGAGCTGGGTTTACTCCCAATGTTTCAGAAGCTCCTTCCAACAAGCTGTGTTTAATGCCAACATTACAGGAGCTCCCCCTGAAAAACTGGTATCAAAAACTGCTTGTTGCAGGGATTCTCCCCCAATAAGCAAGTATAAATCCCAGCTTTCCAGGAGAATTAAAAAGCTGGTTAAAAATTCAGTTTTTTGGGAAGGAATATACTTCCCAGCACAAGATGGATTTAATACCAGCCTGCCAGGAGGAGCCCCTCCTGGTGAGCTGTTACATAAGCCTGTTTTACAGGAGGATCCTCTCCCAATACTGAAATCCCAAGAGGAGTTGCTCCTGGAAAGCTGTATTATATTGATTGTTTTCCTCCACATTTGCTTTGGTTTGAGTATCCACCAGCAAGCTGTTTCATATTCCAGTTTTTTTTGGGGGGGGCAATCCCTCCCAAAATAAGCTGGGTTTGATGAGATGCTCCCGGAAAGCTGGTGCATAATAATTTTTATTGGGAGGAGTCACTCCTGAAAAACTGGGTTTACTGGATTGCTGGGGGGAGTCTCTTTCAGAGAGCTGACCCCAGCTTGTTGACAGGAACCCATACCAATTTTTGTTAGGCTCATGATTATAATTTATGACCAATTTTATGGATTTCATGTTTCATGTTTGAGAGTTGAGGTGGTGCAGTGTAGCATGAAGGTGTGGGGTTGGAGTAGTGAGATGTGTTGTGCCAGTGGTCTATCTTTGATGTTTCTTCTCTGTAGAGAAACATCTTGTATTGCAAGAGGGGGTTAGCAGAGGCTCTGAAGGGGCCGCTGCAGCATTTTATGGATTTCATGTTTCATGTTTGAGAGTTGAGGTGGTGCAGTGTAGCAGGAAGGTGTGGGGTTGGAGTAGTGAGATGTGTTGTGCCAGTGGTCTATCTTTGACGTTTCTTCTCTGTAGAGAAACATCTTGTATTGCAAGAGGGGGTTAGCAGAGGCTCTGAAGGGGCCGCTGCAGCACAGTCTCATGTCGGATTACGCGTAATCTGACATGAGACTGTGCTGCAGCAGCCCCTTTAGCGCCTGCACTAACCCCCCCCCCCCTTTACCCATCATGTTACACACTGCACACCAAGCAAAAATAGACACAACTACCCACCTCATCACTCCAAACTTTTGAAAAACCACCACATCACTTCAAAACCAAGCAACAGACTTTGGTAATCCAAGACCCCCCAGGCCAAATTTTTGACCCCATCCCCACCAAAAAAAAACTGTAAGATTTTCGATTTTTTTTGGGTTTCTGAACAAGTTTTTGACTTTTTTTTGATTTTTTTTGACTTTTTTTTGACTTTTTTTTGACTTTTTTTTGACTTTTTTTTCAACTTTTTTGACTTTTTTTTCAACTTTTTGGACTGTTTTTTTGGACTTTTTGGCCAATTTTTTTGGACTTTTTGGGTGATTTGTTTGACTTTTTGACCAATTTTTTTGACTTTTTACTGAATTTTTTTTGACTTTTTTTTGGTTTTTTTTGGGTTTCTGACCATGTTTTTGACTTTTTTTTTGATTTTTTGACTTTTTTTGACTTTTTTTTGACTTTTTTTTGACTTTTTTTTTGACATTTTTTTGACTTTTTGTTTGACTTTTTGGACTTTTTTTCAACTTTTTGGACCGTTTTTTTGGACTTCTTGCCAATTTTTTTGGACTTGTTGGGTGATTTTTTTTGACTTTTTACTGACTTTTTTTTGAATTTTTGGCCAACACAGATCATGTCATTTAAGGGCTTTGCCCATCAGGAGGATCCCAACCCTCTGACCAATCAACAAAAAACCAGCTATTTAGCTATCTGATCAGTACTATGGTCTTGAAAGCCAGTCTGGGCACAGGCACAAGTTGGGCAAAAAAGAGGCCAAGCGGGCTTGGCCAATCCCAAACCCCGCGTGCCCCTCTAAACCCAACCCTTTGGGAATACCAGGTATACATAGCTACTTGACCCAGCAGGTTTGGACTTGTCATGACACTATTTGAAATGAGTGATTGATCAAAATCAAATTAATCACTTCATTCCTTCCCCCTAAAAAATGAATTATTTGCAATATAAATTTGAATCTGATTTACAATTCTGATTAAGGTGTACACTATTAGTGTGATAAACATATAATTGGCATTGGATTTATGAAGAGAAATCACAAACTTGAATATGGTTGAATTTCTGTGATGTTCTAAATGTATTTCTACAGGGGCTACAAAACCAAAAAATTAAGAGCTTCCCTTGATCTGATTGTGAATCAAATCTGTAACATTTGTTCCAAAAAAACTGCTGAGGCCATGAAAATTGTATTCAATTAGCAGGTTTTATTTTTTTATTTGAATCAGTAGCCTTATCTAATTTGGGGGGAAACTAGGTGTAAGCAAAAGGGAATTTTAGAGGACATTCATTTTCTTTTCTGGGAAATTAGTAGTAAATTCTGGGTAAAAACTAGTGACTTTCTTGTGCGTCCCATTTTCTATCATGATCCTTTTAGTGATTTTTACAAAAAAATTCAAATCTTCCGGGGTGACTTATTTGTGATTTGCAGTCACTGGAAAGCCAGTGCCCTGAAATTTCCCCTGGTGTTCGGTTGTATCTACCTCTTCATTTGTCAAAGCACTGTCATCATTTCTCGATTCTCGCAGTAACACATATTGCTTCTCTCGTGGTAATAAGTACCGAAAACGAAACCTTCGAGTGCCATTTTCCTACAGTGCCGATTTGTATTCTCGAGTCCTCTCAAGTCAAAAAAAACTCCTGGCCACTGCCATGCAGCTCACCCCAACTGATGAATGGGCAGCCAAGTGTCCACGATGCTTTGGCCCTCAAGAATATGAAAACAAAGCCCATCCGGACGAGCCTGACGTCATCATCGCCATGGATGGCAACTTTCAGCAGCGTCACTACGCATATGCCAGCAAGGATAATCCACCTGAGTCCAAATATCCCAGCTGCTTTATCTGTCCATCTAGAATTGCACCAGATGCAACACTCTTTACCACCACTGAAGCAGCTGCAGTTGGAATTGATGTGAGTAGTTGTTTCACATCATGTTATAACATTCTCAATCTGACTTGCCATTTTTTCTTCTTTATTTGCAGCCGCCTTGCGCTGACACTCACAAAGCAGCCAATGATACTCGTGATGACACCACCTGGGAGAAATGTGATGACAATGGCTTGTTTGCTGGGGCTTGTCGACATGATGTACCACTAAAGTATATCAATATTTACAAAACAGGCGAAAAGTAAGTTTGATTGTTTCCATGCCTTCATGGGACCTATCTAATCACTAGCTATCATAGGTTATACTATCCTGTATCAATCATCCGCACCATCTTAAATGACTATCCTCGGCACAAGGTGGGACTGCTATATGACCTTGGTTGTCACTTGGAGTCTCATATGACAAAGGTCAGTCATCAACCATGAGCATTATCAGTTCTGAGGGGCTTGTGACTGATTGATTTGTTGATTTGGCTACAGCGCAACCTCTTACCAGAACGTCTGTCAGACTTAAGCTTTGGAACTTCAGTCTTCCATGCTTATGTGCATGAGTGGGCATGCCAGGTACGCTACAACCCACGGCTCAACCAATGGTGGGGACTATCCGATGGTGAGGGACTAGAGAGGCTCTGGTCATTTCTCTCCCCCTTAGTTTCGAGTCTGCGTGTTTCCACTCGATTGCATCGTCTCACATCCATTGAATCTCGCTCGGAGTACTACACACAACAGCTGAACAATATGGCAGGTGAGTTGCCTACCCCACTGGATTTGCACATCCTACTAACTTTGTGACTGTTTCTTACTAACTTTGTGACTGTTGTGTCACCTGGCTGCCAGCCCACTGGCTGCTGGAGAAGCTTGAATATGCCAATCAAGTACACGATGAATCTACTTTGGCCTTAGGTAGACTCCATCAAGTCCCCAATCCTCACACACCGGGGTCCAACTACACCAACGGGTTCTTTGACCAGCAGTGGCGGGATGAACAAGCTTATCACGTGAATACCAACCGGTCAGCAGAGAGGGAACAAGTGGAGCTTGGCCGTCTGTTGTGTTTGGAAGAAGAGCTGAATGAAGCTCTGTAAGTTGGTCAATTCTTTCTTTTATTGTGATGGATTTAATTTTTCTATATGAGGGTGTTAATTTTCCTGTATTTTTCTGTTATACTAGGTCTTCTGTGGTCACAACACCTGAGCAAGCACTCATGCGGGCACGCAATTGTGCAATAGTGAGAAGACAGCTTGAGGCCCAACGATTAAGGGCACAACCAATACCAGAGGATTCTCATTTGAACCGTTAGTATCCCTAGCTCTGTGATATATACAGATGACTAAGCTGACTCTATTATCTTCCCCAGGTACCCAAAGGGAAAAGCTCACCAAAGTGTGGTATGCCAAAACTGAGCTGCGCCGAACTTTCTTGGCCCTGGTCGAGGAGAAGCAGCCAATGCTTCGGGTGCGCCGTGCAGGCGAAAGTACCACCCTTGGTATGTGTTTTCTGCCATCATTGTGTTCAAGTGAAACAGCTTCACTAATGGGTGTCTGATTGGAATTAGGTACCCGTGGACAGCAAAGGCTGACAGAAGCCCTCCGCAAGCGAGCAGCCAAGCTTCAGACAACCCTGAATACTTACAACCGACTGGCACGAGCGTTCATCCAAATCACCCCTGATCGTCCAGCTCCTTGAGTAATTGAATATGCTACCCTCATATCCCTTCAGTTGGATGATACTTTCTGGAACGATGGCATCTTTACCAATGCAAATGAGCCATGGGCAGTGGATCCCCTTACGCAACAAGGCATACGAGCTTTGGCATGTCTAAATCGCGCACTCGAGGAGAAACGACGTCTGACTTGGGAGGTACGGCGTGCGATGCGGTGGGCAACACGGAATCACCAGCGTCTCATTTCCCTTCTCAACAATGCGCGAGATTATATGGACAGCCGAGAAGGCAACCCACCTGAACCAGGCATCATTCCACCAACCCTCAATGCAATTTTCTCCCATTCGGTAATGGATTCCTTGCCCACTCAAGCATATAAGATTGGTGTGGTTGCCCAGGCTCTCCAAACATCTTACCAGGAAACTTGTGATTTACAACTTGAGTGGAATGACAAGTTACTCGAGGTGTTTCAAAAGACACCGTCACAATATGGAGACGAGTTCCTTCTGGGCACATGGAATCAACAGCTCGAGCGGATCAAATGCGCTATCGATTACCATTGTCTTACACAGATCCCGGGGCGCATGAACAGGACACTCTCTCGAATTATGAATGGTCATTATCGGATTGTCCAGATTGTACCAGACGGGGATGATGGCGATGATGATGATGATGAGGAGGAGGAACAGTATCTGGCTGATCTTGAACATATACTGAGTGAATCATTGCGAACTGATCTTGAGCGCCTGCCTGATGACCAACGTGATCAGGGAGACCATTGAAGCTTGCAAATAAAGTCTGCTTTATTTTGATTTTTACAATAGTTTTCACCTTTATGATAGTCTGCCTCTGAGTAAAGAAGTTGTGTTTCTGCTTGTTCTTATTTCTTTATATTTCAGGCATACTTGAAATGAATCACTTTCTGATTCCCAAAACTCACATGTCTCAATTCCTGCAGAAATTCAATTTAAATGATGTGAGACATTGACAAGTCAATACATGTGTATTGACTAAGTATTGCCTAAGGGGAATAATGCATCAGACCTCTTTAGTGGTAAGGTTAGAATTTGTCAGGGCCCAAAAAAAACATTTGTTCTGAAATGTTGATTCAATTTTGTTCTGTATTGCTCTGGATTGTTTATTACAAGTCAATTGTTATGTTTATGATATATGTCAACCATGCTTGTGGCCACACAGTTTATCAAACAGTGGCTCACTGATACACCTCACCTGAATTTCATAACTCATGTATCTTGAGACATGATTATTAATTGGTTACCCACTGTCACACCTGCACTGACATATTTGGCTATGTTTCCCATGTGAGTTGACAGACATGATTAGCATGATCAGTAAGCTGTATGTGTGACCAGTGGGTAACGGTTAAGATTCATGATTCATGATTACCCACTCACTCCATCCTGATAATATCTGTCATATCATCTGGAGGTTTTATTGATAACCAATTTTGTTGGTCACATTAGAAATGTCTGAATCCACTTTGGTAATTCAATCATTTGAAAAGGTGTGATTGTAAGGATATAGGATATTACATGTATGCATGATTGATCACAATTGGATGATTGGAAGGTTGCTTCTTAATTATGTATGATGGAGATGACTGAATCAGACTGATTTTATGCTATAACATAACATGAGCAAAGTTATGTTTGGCTAACTACTTGGGCAAACATAATCATCTGACATAATCATCTGATTCTGATCAAAAGTAATCATCTGATTCTGATCAAAAATCACTCTGTTATGTATAAGGAATGATTTTTTCACTTTACACAATTCAATCAAAAAATCAAATCAAAGAGAATAATTGCACAAAAGAAGATCCACAAACAAAGATCAAATAATCAATTGTACCACAAGTTCAAAGAAATATTTAAACCAATGTTTATCAAAAGGAGTCAAGCAAAAAATGACTTGAGAAAAATGAGCAAAGAACAATCAAAAGAGCCAACATTTCTCAATTTAATACATTACCACCAAACAGGTCAAATGGATATCAATTTGATTTGAACCAAACTGATACAACCTGCTTCATACCTTTTTTATAATTTTTTATCAATATCAAAATCTTGCAACCTATCAAAATGTTGCTGAAACCAAACTTAATCCACCGGCTTCACACTTTATAGATAGCAAACTCATGGATTAGCTACTTACTTACTCCAATTGACTTACTCCAATTGACCTGTTCATTACTGGATCACCATTTTGGTGGCACTGGACACTGGAAGTGGAGAAATGTTTCAGTCTGTACCAATCAAACAGTACCAATCAAAGAGAAAATCATTGAATCAATCAAAGACAAAAATACCTCACAACCTCACAATTTTGGGCAATTTGACCTCAGCAAGCTCCTTGAGGGAGAAGCATCAAAAAAGATAGATCAATTTACTTGTCAAAACAATTATCAATACTCCAGAGTACCCCAATCATAAACATGTATTATCCCAACCTGCACAGATTTGATGCCAAACACATAGTGTTACACTCAATTCACATCCAAATAAGAGTCAGAGGTAAAGGCACATTTGTCACCCTAAGCATGGATGACTCACATCAGATAACAGGTCCACCAACATTGGTCTGGGTTCCAGAATGAGTGCAAGGTGCCTAATTTAAGAAGGCAAACCCAACCGGGTCTGAACAATCAAGAAACTAACAGACAACAGAGCAGAGCAACAATCAAGAAACTAACAAGAGCAAGCAAGCAGTATGCGCAATCAGAGACAAGAGCAACCAGTATAACGCGCGATCAGAGACAGAAACAAATGGCTAGCAGTATGGATGATCAGAGAGGCGAGCAAGCATTATGATGCGCGATCAGAGACAGAGACAAAGGGGGAGCAGTAAGCGTTCACGCGAGCCAGAAGATTGGAGAGAACAGATAGAGGATGTCAGAGATCAATAGGAGTAAGCAGGTCACGTAAGCATGATAATCGGACTTGAACAAGCCAGAGGGAGAGCGAGTAGTTGAAGAATTTTGAGTGATGAGGCAATCACAAGTGATCAGAAGGGAGATGGGGAAACGCAATCGGAACCACCATCTGGTGATTGGCTGCTCCGACTGCTGCGACTGGGAGTAGCAGGCGGAGGTGATTTGAAGTCTTTACGGGAGATGCGATCAGGAATGGAGGGATCGTAAACAATATCAATCAGCTGGGAATCGAGGGCTACATGAAGAACCCCCTGGCGCTTAGTTCCAAGGCCACGACTTGGCCGTTTGAGCCAAGCCTCTTGAATCTGTGCGCCTGGCAACAGTATCAACCGATGCTTGGTTTGTGCAAGGCTGAAATCGGTATCGGTCCACGGCCATTGTTTGATTGCACCTTGAGTCTTTTCAGCTGGCAGAGAAGGAAAATGATGGTTTTCAAGTTAGAAAGAGCGATGCTTCTCCTCACCTCACCTTCACGAAGACAACCCCCCCAGGGGAGTCGTTCAACGCTAGGCGGGTAGACAAGGAACAAAGATGCCACAAAGTAATGTCCTTTGTCTACTCCCCTCACAAAGACAACCCCCCCAGGGGAGTCGTTCAACGCAAGAAGAGTAGACAAGGAAGAAATAAGAGGCAAGGACAACTTACCAATGAGGAGAGACATCCTCGCGACGGCTGAAATGGGATGGAGAGGGGCCGATCCTAAAGCGACAGGGAGAACGGTGTTAGCCAGGCTTGGCAGCAGGGTCAATAATGACTACTTGCCATCCTTGCCTCCTTTTGAACTGGGCACAGCTGTGCCATTCTTAGCCGCTTTTGCAGCCTCCTCCTTCGCCCTTGAGATAACTGCTGCGAGATCAGCAACTGTGTATCCGGTGATGAATGACTGCATCCGAGCTGGATAGGCTTTTGCGCCATCAACGTCCTTGGCGCCTTGAACAAATTGGATAGCTCCGGGGGTGCACCGCGTGAACTGAAAGGAGTGTCGCCCCAGATGTCTAGATACCGCAAATGTGACAAGCTCACAGCCAAACGTATTGGCCACATTCACTGCCTGCGTGCGAGATCAACCACATCAGCAAACTGATTGACAGGAAGAGGTATCGGAATGATCTACCTACCTTGGCATCCCACTCATCCATGAAATTCTCAACCTCTTTCGAGGCGGAATGAAGCGAGATGTTCTTGCGCATTCCAACTTGGTTTGCACCCCCATTGGGTTCATCATCATCGGATGCCTCCTCAACGGCGCTGCCTTGGGAGTTAGCCTCGTTGTCTGCCACAGGTCCATTTGGAGCGGAGGAGTCAGTGGCAACTTGATTGCGATCGGAGGAGTTGCCCGCAAGTCCATTTTCATCAGAGGCGTCGTCTGTGGTCACCATCGCCGAATGCCTATACTTGGCCTTCTCCTCGGGGGAAAGCTTGTGCCATAGCTTGGATGCAAGCCCCATCGCTGGAGAGTACTTTACTCCTTTCCGTGCTGTAGCAAGGGGTCATCAGCAAAAGCCAAAGGAGTGATGCGGTGGGAGGGGAATGGGACTTACCGCCTTGAAAAACGGCTCGGACCTTCTTGGTTTGCATGAAATAGTTGAAGTTGCTAGGCTTCCGCAACGCGAGACGGCGGCCCCTGGATGAAAAAAGGCGGAAAAGGATGAAGCGATGTCAGTTGTCAAGTCTGGAGATTCATAGGATGACGATCAGGTGGCTTACAAAAAGCTGTGGACCATCGGCATGGAAACACCCCGCTCGATAGCCTTGATGGTCAACATCTTGCGTTGTTCGGACGCATAGTGGGCAAAAAACGATCGATCCGAATCCGACATTGCCTTTTTGGACCATTTCTTGGCTTCCATGATGAGCTGGCCTTCCGACATCTTCATGAGCTCCTCGTACGGCCTGGGTGACGGACGAGGACAATCAACAGGCTGTATTTTCTTTCGTTTTCGGTTGTCGGGTCGATTATTGATGTCGATCAAAGGTGGAGCTGGGCGCTTGAGGATTGGAGATGGCAGAGGGGGCGGAAGAGAACGACTTGGTGATACACTGGGCCAATAGGAACTCGGGCTTCTGCTTTGATTGCATCCAGCCTGGCGGTTGTCAACTCTTACAGTGTCGACTCTTGCAGCAACGGACGGATTGGGCTGGATGGGGATGGTGGTAGCAGGATTGCACTGCGTGGGGTTAACAGTAGCAGAAAAACGGTGGACAGGGTTAAGAGGAGCAGGATCGTGCGCGTTCGGATTAGCAGAAATGCGGTGGACAGGGTTAAGAGGAGCAGGATCGTGCGCGGTGGTATTTATTAGCAAGTGGGCCAAGCTCCCATTGGCTTGGGAGGGGGCAGGAAGGGGACAGACTGGACCGCGCGGAGTATCTGGGGCTGATTGGCGGGACCGGTGTTGTACAAACGGTTGGGATTGTGGTTGTGTGGCAAGATGAGTGGACTGGGTAGGTTGATAAATGATGGTTTGCAATTGGGTGGGTTGAGTGTGAGTCACTTGGGATTGGGATGGAGACTGATCGTTGTTGAGATGATAGGTGTAGTTGTTGTTAAGATCGGCATGACTAGCGTGCTGACCGGTTGCGTATTGGATAGGTGAGGAATCAAAGTGAGGCTGGAAATCGATGTTGGGTTGCTCGTTATATATTATGTCGACATAAGACAGCTGCTCGATGTTTGGAGGGTAGTAGTAGCCGCCAGCGCTTGAGTCACGGTTGGTATGGTTGGAGTTTGGGGGGCATGAGGGATGGAAGGAGTTGTGGTGAGGGTTGTTGGACATGTTCGGCAGTTGATATGGTCGGGTAACACTGAGCTTAAAAAGAGAATGAAATCTAAAATTGTAAGGGTATGCGATCGATGTAAGTGAAGGGTTGAGCGGAGGAAGAGAGGAAAGTCTGTTCGAGGAGCGGGCATCGAGGAGAACGGTGACGTGTACGTATGTATATATTGCGGAATAGTGGTTGCTGTGACTGCGCAAAGCAGCTATGAAAAAAAAAACCCCCGGGGGGGCACCGAGATTGACCGGCCGCGAGCGAGACAAATCGAGATGCGAGAACATCCTGTAAGGAAGGCTAGCCACATGTCGTACATAGACTATACTATAGTCTGTTTAGTATCGACAGGGGTGCATGCAGTGAATTTCTTGCCAGTAGCTCAAGGTTAGCAATCCTATTAGTTTGAAACCCATTACATAATTTTTCATTGTCAAGGAAAAAAAAAATTACAGTTTTGAGTTGATGATCAGATTTGGCTCCTGGTGTTCAACTGTTATGCTTCCAGGCTTCTGTTGGTGCTATAAATCTTTGAGCTGTGGGTGAAACTGAGACAATGTTGAATGAATAGTGCAGGTCTAGAGCGTCATGAGTTTCACATAAATATGTACAAAGGACTGAACATCATCTCATCGAAGCTACACACATTTCTGTCCAGCCTTCAATGTATCAAACATTATCTCAGATTTTTGTCTAGCCGTGGAGATGTCTTTTGCCTGTCGACGGTGATCATCCCTGATAACTTATCCTCCTCGTCGGAGCGTGCGGCGGGCGCAGCCCGGGCGAGGCTTGAGAGAGAGGCCGTTTTCCTTCCACAATTTTTTCAACTCTTTTCGGATCACAACCGGGTTGTCTTTGCCGGCCACTTGACCATCAAGCAATCTCCTTAACAGAAGCTTGGAAAGATTCTTCACATCAGCCTCAGACACCCTAATTATCACATGCCAGCCTCTTCTTTTCCCCTTCAAATTCAATCCTCTGGGAAAACCGGGCCTGTGTCATGTTCTCTTTATGTGGATTGATGGAATATATAAACAGCTCCTCGGAACGGGTTATCCAGATTGGTTTGATCATCACCAGAGTAAACCCCGTGCTTTCTAAGGCTCTTGATAAATGTTTTCATGCCTCAAAGTTCCCCTAAGAGTTGAAATTCGTTTGGAGTATTGTTAGATCGGTCAACAGCTCGATGAGAGCATATTGATCAGGATTGCTTGTGTGTCTCCACAAACGTTATGCCTTGCTTATGCTGCAAAGATGATCATGAAAAAACCATCGAATTACAGAATTCACTTCGATCGATTGGCACGATTCCACGACGGAACTAAAGCTAATTACCAGGCCTGTTTGAGTTATTTTTTTCTTATTGAGAATCCGCGAGTTGTTTTTATTCGATTGATTGACCAGATCTCAAATCTTCTACTCCAACCAGCTCTATTTACATATTTAAATAAATAATTGATAGTTCTCTGCGCCTGAAACTCCCTAATCTCAACGCGCGTTGCTCAAGGGCTGATTCCACTCACAAAGTGGTTCATGAAAGATTTACTGGGTACAACTACATATTTAAATAGTTGTCAGCCGGACCCCAGTTTCCACTGTCCAGAGCTCGACGTTGGATGATGCGCTTTTACAGTCGGATGTCAATTATCAGCTTGCCCCTGATGGTCTTGCTCCCTCCAATTCCATTGCTCCTTGGACATTAACAAAACTTGAGCGTCATCATCTGGTTGAGCTCCATGCAGGTTTGCTTGGGCACCTCTTCTACTCTAGGCTTGAATAATAACCATCAGCAGGAGCACATTCTGATTCCATGAACCACTTATCTAAACACTTTTGTCTTGTTTCTCGTTTCACCACTCTTCAAACCCGTTGTTTTGCCATGTCTTCCCACTCATCCTCCGGGCAGCGTAAAAGCGCCACTCCCAAGTCACCCTCCTCCTCATCAAAATCAACAACATCATCATCATCTTCTTCTTCAACTGGACCTGCCTTCTTCCCACCGATCATCTTGGGGGGCGCAACTCGTGAGCAAATCGAGGCATGCCCATTTTACGCCCCTTCCCCACCTGAGCCCCATTCCACACTCGATCAACCCTATTCCCCACCTGATCCTATTTGGTACAACTCGAGGCGAGATGGACCACCTGATCTTAACGTTCCCGGTGGTAATCATTCCGTAAATATCGGCGACCAATTTCATGACAATCGCTATAAAGTCGTCCGTAAGCTGGGCTGGGGTTCCTTCAGCACGGTCTGGTTGGCTCATGATCAGCAGTTGAGTTGATTCAATCGGTCCAGATTTCCTCTGCTTCCCATCGTGCTCACTCCACTTTGCTTTTCCCCCGTAATAGGCTCAATCGACACGTGGCCCTCAAAATAGTCAAGTCAGCCAAAGACTTCACAGACACTGCTGAGCTGGAAATCAAACTTCACCAGCGCGTCTCCTCAGCCAACCCAGACCATCTTGGGTATCATCATATGGCCATACTGCTCGACCACTTCAAGCACGAAGGACCTAATGGTTCCCATGTCTGTATGGTCTTTGAGGCACTCGGCGAAAACCTTGCCGGGCTCAATAGCCGTCTCGGGAACGGAGGGATCCCTCAATCGGTCATACGGGACGTTGGCCGACAAATCCTCCTCGGACTGGACTACCTCCATCGTGAATGCGGTATCACTCACACCGGTATCAAGCCTGAACACATATTGATCTGCATCGAGGACATCGAGAAGCTCATTCGATCCGAGCTGGAGAAGCAGCACAACACCAAAACCACAGCTCCCATTTGCACCCCTCAGCTTCAATCTTTCTCCGCCTCTAGCCGCACTAGTCATTCTAAAGAAGACCATAGCCCCATCATGGTCAAGATTGCCGATCTCGGGGACGCCGCTTGGTCTTTATCCCACCATTTAACCAATCGTATTCAAACCCGTCAGTATCGCAGTCCCGAGGTGATCGTTGGTGTTCCTTGGAATCAGCGAATTGACATGTGGAGCGTTGGTTGCTTGGTCAGTGATGCAGCTTTCGTATTATCTCTTCTGCTACAAAGTATGAGACCAGATGAGCTGAAGCTGGAATTTTGGAGTGTGGTTCAGTTCTTCGAGCTCTTGACCGGAAATTACTTGTTCCACAGTCCCGAAGACTCGGATCACGTGGATCAGATTCACCTCATGCAGATCATCGACTTGGTAGGCCCGTTCCCACTCGAAATGGCACTCTCTGGGAGGTACACCCACGGCATCGCCCATGAAATAGGCAAGTTGGTTATATCACCCCGCCACTAATTTGGATTCCGGCGAAAAAAAAATTGATTATGATTACCATCAGATGACTGACTGTTGGATGTCTTAATTAATTCCCCTGAAACTATGGTGATTCTTCAGCGTCCTACAATTACAAACAGGCGATGTCTTGCCAAGAATGGAATCTAGAAATTATGATGAGTTTTTATGGATTCGACAAAAGCATAATCCAATGTTTATACAGGATGTTGCAAATCGATCCTTCCAAACGATGCGAGGCAAAGGAAATCCTTGATGATAAAAAGTGTTGGTTGGGTGCTGAGAAATAAACGAATGAATTAGGCGCCAAGTTGGATCTCAATGCTCACGTTCACAATTCCAGTCCATATTTTATCCTCATCGCTTCCATCAAAAATAAAATGTCGCTGCAAGGGTGACAATACCCATGTCTAGTTGCAAAACTTTTACATCTTACCAATCCTGTTGCTGGTGCTATCCTGTCCTATTACCGGTACTATCCTGTGCTGTTATGAATATCTATCAAGCATTACGATGAGCTAATTTCTGGTCAACTTCTACTCTCATCGCTTCCATCAAAATAAAAAATTCCTATGAGTGTAATGCTGTCCTATACTCGATGCAACGCCTTTACCTATCACATTTCCTTTCACTTGCGCTTCACTCCCCCGTTACATTTCCCGTCATGATTGGAGCAACATCCTCTTTATGAGAGACTGCAACAATGTGGAAATGTTTCATTTCTATCCAGAGAATGCTAGACTGATGGAATTCTGGGTCTCTTGTATGATAGGAGAACACAATGAATATGTAGGTAGATTACGAAACTATAGGAAAATTGACCTCTATGCCAACCCTTTCTGTGTTTGGTTAGACATCAGAACTTGAGAGGATGCCGGAAACAGCACATTGTGCCGACATCAAACCTACCGGTCTGTTTGCTCAGAATTCTGCGAAACGATCTCCGCTATTTCTAATCAGCCTTTCATAATTTTCCAATGCATAATCACTCCAGTCTTAGGGTGCCTTTCCAACTTGATAGCTTGCCTCTCCTGCAGAGAGCGTCCGGCGGAGACATCCCGGCAGAGGCTTTGTTTTTGGTCGTGACATCTGTTGCCGGGCCGGGGGTGTCACAGGCGAACCGCGTCGCGTCCACCCGAACAGCTTTTAGCTTTTAGCGCCTGGGTTTTTTTTTCCAGTAGATCCATTCGAAGCAGTCGTTCCCAAATTATGGATCCCCGTCGTCGTACACTGGCATCGGTCGATCCTCTTGGTGGATCGAATGTTCCTCTCCCTTCGTCAGCCCTCAAGAGACCGCAGGCTCGATTGGCAAGCTCGGTCAGGAAAGGTGGTGGTGCCAGCAGATTCTCGCTGGCCCCTCAACGCTTGTCATCCCACTCCGGTCAGTTAATCGTTTCTTTCCTTCTTTCCATCCCACTCTTATTTTGACTGATGGACTGCAATCTGTTCACAGGTGCAAGAAAGTCGAGGGTTGCGACTGGCTCAAATTTTCAGTTTTCACAACATGTCGATGCCTATTTCCAACCTTCTTCAGCTACTGGCTTCTCGAATTCTCAACTTCAAGATGCTGCTAGACGCTCGTCGGTCTACCAGGCCCCACATACGGTCAATCGACAAGCTACCAGTGGCTCTAATTTCCCCGCGGCTAGCCGAGGCTCCATGTCGGTGAATAAAAACGAGCATGCCCACTACCGATCAAGTAGCGCCAACGATGTCCCTCCTGCCGGCCTGCTCAATTCGCATTCCACGCCTTTTGCTAACCCAGCTTCCTCCGTCGGGCCATTCCGAGTAGCTCACCACGGCACCTCTTCCCTCCTCCCGCCCTTTCAGACCTACAAAGACCCTCGTACACGCGACAGAAAGACGATCGCTTCTTGGCAACATCAAGTTTACGAGCTTCTTCTAGAGCGTGGCTATTCCGAACTATTGACAATCAAGACCCTTCAGACCACCACAACCAAAGACTTCTAAAACATCTCCAAGTCCATGATCTAATGCTCGGACCATGGCCATGTCTGGGGAATTTATGGGAAGAAGCCCGAGGGTGAAGTGATCCCCTTGCTGAAGAGTATGGGATATATTGTGTATGATGCACTCTGACATAAACCACCATTAGAGGAATACTTCCGTAAGTTCCTGACTCGTCCAATCAATCGGGCTGCTTATCTCCTTCCATTGCTCGTTGCTAATCTCGTCATTCTTTTGAGAAACGCAAAGATCGAGTCCTATCTGAAATCGAAAGACTTGAGGGTCGTAATTAGCGCAGGAATTCAACCGTATATGTAGCTAGTAAACTTGTCCGCCAGGTCTTGATTTTATTTTTGTGGCACTTGTACACCGCCGTCAACTCATTTTTTAAGAAAGTACACGTAAACTGGTCAAGAACGCTCAAAGCTTTTTAGAATCAATCAATCAAGCCAGACTTGGAGAGCGCAGGTTGAGTTGATGTTTCCTTCCTCCTGTTTTGCAAGAACAAAAAACATTCCCAAGGCAAATCATTCTAACTGAACAACAAGTTTGAATTATTCAGAGATGAAATTGAGGGAATCTCAGAAGAAAAAGGCTGAATTAGCAGTGGTGGTAGCCAAGCAGACATCAGCGATCCCGAATTGCAACACATCTCATCCACTCGGGCTCAATTAGAACGATCATCTGCTGCTACCCACGCGAAGCCCAGTCAACTGAAAGAGGTGATGCTTGGCTTGGCAGTTCGAAGCACCCAAGCCTCCGAACGAGTCGAGAAGACGCTGAGAATCTACAAGAACAAAGCCGTCAAACCGGGCTTGATCCCGTGTGCGCCAGAGCCATTCGAGCATCTCGACTTCATCCAAACTGTCAACAGCGGTGCAGCCGATGTCGTCGACATGTTTCCCGATACACTTATCGATATCAAGCCGGCACTTATCCAGCTCAAGAAGAACGCGATCGACCATCGCGTGGGATTGACTGATCAAGTCCTCTTGGTTGAAGATAAACTCGCTACTCTCACCGAAACTCTCCAAGAAAAAAGGGAGCATATGCAGATCTTGGAAACCTCAGTCCAACAGTTACTCGAAGATCATAAAAAGTCGATTATATAACAGGGTTGCAACTGAACATCATGTTCGTTTTATCTCATCTTTCGATAGAAATTTGCCGCTGAAATCGGCCGAATGAATGAACAGATTGATACTGTTCTGAAACGAGTTACCGAGACTGCATCCACAATCGAAAACGGTCGAATGACTGTTGATCATGAAATCCAAGCTCTGAGAGTCAGGTGAATTGAGTTTCTTTCTTCTCACAATAGTCATTTCAATTCAACACACACAACCACCAGCGTTTCCCATCTTTTTTTTTGTTTTCCCTTTACGCGCAATTTGCTCTTTCTGAAACCTCTATAAGGTTTGATGAAACACAAGAACGTCTCAGTAAGCTGAGCAAAGACAATGTGGAAGAGATGAACTCGATCTTAGGATTCATTGTATCCTACAAAGAGCAGATTGCTGAAAAAACTTTGCAGCTCAAGCACTTGTCTGAACCCACTGGCAGTCCTAGCATCAATCTTGATGTCAACTACCCACCTAGTGGTAGTGGCAGCAATAACACCAACATGCGCATTTAATCCTTGTGTATGTCATTTTTTATTTGAACAAAAAAACATCCTTGTTGTCATTGTCATGGTATACTGCTGTTTCATGAAGTTAGTTTTAGTTTGAATCTGTTGTAGTTTTCTTCGGTTTTCTTTTCATTTTCTGAATTTTATCATCAGAACATTTGATTGTAGTGCTTGATCAATGCCAAGTTTAAAAATTCAATAGCCTTCATGTGAAACTCCTGATAATAGATATCCTTTGCCAGAAGATCAGCAGTGACCTGATTAAGACTCTCTAGGGCTCCAGAGACAGCATTTTCTTCCTATCTCTCCCATTTTTCAAGTGCTCCTAGAATTGCACTTGGCCACAGACTGAACCAGGCTTGACACCTGATCCAAACCCTCTGTTCATAAAGAAATGACCAATGAAGGCAAGCTGAAATAGGAGCTTCATTCACTGGGTTCAGATGTTGGGGACTACAAGTCCTACTGGCAAGTGGGCCAACAAACTCAAATCACCCATATGCTCATCTTAGCACAACAGGTATGCAATATGAGCATGGTTTGGGTCAATTTTAAGATTGATGGTTAGTGGCTGCTAGATTGAGAAACTATGGAAGGGAGAGAGACAGAACATCAAAAAATGAGGGTAGTTTTCAGAGCGCACTGTAACACTGGAAGGGGCACAATGTGGCTCTGGCACAGTTGGAACAAGAGGAGCTGGAGAACCAATAGCTTGAATTCCTTGGGATTTTTTCAATCTGTATATATATTATAGACTAGGTACATGAGCACCAAATTGTGTTTTAATATCAGCACATGTGACTTTTTGTGGAATCATGAATGTGATCCTAGGAAGATTCCTTTGTCTCTTTCTTATTTTGATGTGTTCTTTTTTTGTATTTTGTCTCATTTTAGTGGGGGTATTCAAAGTTGTGCTGTCAGTTTGTAAGCATAAATGATAAATTCATAAATAAATTTTATTTCATAAATGATTCTCCAAGCTTAACAGGGATGTTGTAATAATTTATGGGCTAAAATTCATGGATGAACTGATGTTTGAATACCACTATGTTATAGGGAGGAAGGATACTGAAACTGAAATTTATGAAATTTGGTCTGACTTCATTGCAGAAGAGATTTTTTACAGCTCATGTTTGTTCAACTGGAATAACTTGAACCCAGACAGTTTTGGGGGTAGTTAAACTGATTGATCTTTCACCTTAATCTTATTAATTTCATTTTCCACAAGGTTTTCTAAATTGATTTGGCTTTTACGGCTGGAGTACCACATCAAATACCATTTTTGATAAAATTCATAATTCTCCAAAATGTGCTGATGTTTTGAAGATAGAATCTTTGTGTAGCTTGAAATTGCTGAAAGTTCTTTGGAAACAGTCTCTTTATCCTTATTTTTCCCTGTATGGGAAAGTTGACAATAGTAATGAAGCCCTTGAGGTATAAACCACTGATGATGACCTTCTTTCAAATAAAGTCTAAAAACTTTCATTTCTTCATAATACAGTAAGCTGTCTGAGACCTGATCAATTGTTTCCTGTATAATTTGGTTAATTCCATTCAAATGCAGAACTTCCTTTCCATATGTCTGGACCAAGAATTCTAGAATAAAGAATGAATATGACTGTGAAAAATAATTTGAATTTGATGCTTGAAAGGTAAATAAATTGATAAGGTTTTGAATATCTTGCTTCAGCTCATAATTCATATGCTCATTCTCAAACTGATTTTTTCCCTTTTGTAGTTTTTTGCTTTCAAGATACTCTTCTAATCTTTCAAAAAATCTTGAATCTCGGATATCAATCAAACCAAATGAGACCATTACGTCTGTAGTGATATACACAAATTTGATCACAAAATACTGCCTGAGGGACAAGTATAAAAAATATCTTTTTTCTTTTCCCCTCAAAACTAATACAGTATCAATTTTTAAAAGGGAAAAAATACTCAGTGACTTCTAATAATGTCAAAATAATGTTTTGGTTTAAATTGGGTCTTACCTTCAAGGAAAGTCCTGTAATGAGAAAGTTTCCAGTTTCTGAGCATAGTATAAATACTTGAATCTCCTCCTGACAGTTCCTTTTCATAATGAATGTTGAAGATTTTGATCATGTTTACTGCAGCAAGTTCCATTGTATCTTTATGCCCAATAAAATCCCTCAAAGTTTCTGCCGATATCAAGTGTTTTTTGTACATGTAATCAGCTGTTTTGAATGCTGAATCAAAAAGTATTTGGAGAAATTTGGGAATTTTATCTTGAATTTCCAAGGCTGATGCCTCATCCCTCAATCTAAATCTTTCTATTATCTCTTCTATTTGGAATGAATTTATATCATCCAAAATTCCACCCAAAAAACCAACTAGCACCTTTTCCCTTATAATGTCAATTGCATCTCTGTCTAGATCCAATAATGGATATTCATCTGGAGGGTTTGCTACCCCTTTGGATCCTATTTCTTCAGATGGGAAGTCTTTCTTGGGTTGTTCACTTGACATTCCCTTTACTAGTCCTTTCCATATTGGTAAAACTTGATCTATATTATGGGCATTCTTGATCATGAATTCCTGAAGGTGAAGGTATTTCCTAATTCCCATCTGATTCCAAGGTAGATCCTTCCCAATCTCTTTGAAGTGCAAGCTTTCCCCTGAGTCCTGACAGACTCCACTTGAAACAGAATTTTTGGTTGTTAGAGTATGATTAACTTCATCCTCAATCTTCCAATCTGAGATTAACTTTTGGAATGAGTCCATCTTCTCAAAAAGATCAAGTAGCTTCCCTCCCTCTGTGGGGTATTTTGATGCAAGTTCTTGAAGAGATGCTTGGAGATGGGTACACAGAGTTCCCATCAAAGGAACAAATGTATCCTCCTTTGAAAAATGATCAACTTGAGCTTATAAAAGTTTCAGGAATATGGTCCAGTCAGTGGTCACATAGCATAGTATTTAGCAAGTTTTGTATCTTAATTCTTCTAACTTACTAATTGTTGGTAATATTTTCACTTGATTTTTGAATTGTGGGATATTTGCAAGACATCTCTGAGCATCATCTTCAGAAATTGGACTTATGGAGCCTAAAACTGGTGATTCTATCCCCATATGGACAACATTGGAAGTTACATCTGAAATCCAAATTAGCAATCAGTTTCTCTATCACAAACTTTCAAGAAGAAAAGTAAGCCTTGATGAAATTTTACCATCAGGGAGGGACATGCATTTAATTTCTTGAAATAAAAAGGATAAAAATCCTATTGACTTGAAAACCATCAGGTATTTTTTCATTGCTAAGTAAAATATAATTCCAGCTTTGAGTGGATGAGTTGTGGCTGGTGTTATAGGTCCCAAAGGGCAAGTGAAATTGAGCCAAAGAATGGTCCAGGTGTAATGTTTCATGAGTTCTACATACAAAAGGCCAAACATCTTCCCCACAAAGCTACACATCTTTCTAGCTTTAAAGTTACACAATATGATCCACATGAAACTAGACAATTTTTTATTCCGGCTGTGACGATTTTTTTGTCCCAAATGTTGGTGCAAAGAGATTGTTATTTTCCTGCCATTTGGTCAAGACAGCTGCAACAAAAACATATTTTCATGAAACATTGTAAGTAACACTATTCATGTGGAGGTACTGACTGTGGAATCCATTGGACATAATAATAGTTTGGCTGAATAGACCAAGCAGGTTGACTGAAGCACTTGTTTCTGGATTTATACCCACCACTAAATATATCAGATGTTTTCTCAGACACACTCTTTACAATTATGCTTTCTCACGTAGAATGACAAGTCCTTCATCTTTTGGGTTTTTTTTCTTTACTCATCCTCCTTTGTTGAAATCTGAGCTTATCCTAAGAGTTTTAATAAGAAAATGGCATAAGAAAACATCTTACTGGAAGGGCTTCTATAGTGCAGAAAATGAAGGAGGAGAGCCATTGCAGCTTGATTTGTTTGCAATAGTCTAGACTCAAATTATACTACTTAGAAATTGTCAGAGTGTGGTTAAAATATAATGAATAAGAATTAATAATGAACAGAAGCAAATGGAACACATACAAATTTTGATGGCCAGGAGGGACATCAAGATTTGGCCCAGCCATTAAGATTATACACTGTCCAGCCATGGAGAGTGTACAACACCCTTGAGAGAATCTCTAATGGAGCTTTGATTGGGCAACCAGGGGAAAACATTGGCGGCCCTCATTATTCTTCATTTCAAATTAGTACTGTACTGTGTCATTAAGGCCCTGTTTGGAAAACACTGTCATACATTATAAATTTTAACATTTAGTGTGGCATTGTGATATATTGAACAGTTTAACATTAAACCTCAAACTGTCTCATTTTCCACAGGTACCGCTACTAGCAATGTCACAAGAGACATTAATTCTCCTACTGACCCTGGGTTTAGGGGTAACTCTAACCTTTTGCACCCTGTTTTTATAATATTTTCATTCTTTTGTTCTGGTTCTTCCCCCTCCATGCTTCTCAATTTTCCGCTTTTCTTTCACTTCTTCTTTGACTTGTCCTTCCTCATTGGTTCACCAAGGTCCAAGGGCATTGCCTTTAGATCATTTCAACATTTCTTCTTTTTATCATCCATTTGTCAAAGGCATTGCCTTTTGATTCATTTCAACACTGCCTCTCATCTGTTCATCAAAGGCATTGCCTTTCGGATAATTTTGACACTGCCTCTTTTTAGGCAACAAACGTTTGAAATCTGTAATAACACATTTCTGAACTATTCCTCTCTTATCATCAGTTCACTCAAGGCATTGCCTATTGAATCATTTAAACACCGCCTCTCATTTTTTCACCAAAGTTGTTTCCTCTTAGATCATTTTGACACTGCATCTTTTTAGGCAACAAATATTCAAAATCTGTCACAAAATATTTCTGAACTATTTGTCTTCTTGCATTTGGACCTAATACATCTCCTGCATTCAATTCCTTTTGTGTGATCCCTATCTCCAGGCCATTGACTATTATTACTTCCTTTTTCAGGTTCATCATATGTTATTCTTTGATTTCACAATCATTGATTTGCATCATTTAAATTTTCCTGGCCTTAGGTTCCAATCTTTAATCCCAACAAATACCAGGTAGCTGCCACATTACAGAACCTATTTCTGTGAATGAGAATGGCACCATATAATTTCCCTTCACCAACATGCTTGTTCCTCATGCACATCACGTAGTCTTGGAAAATCAACCTTCTGCTCATGTGTAAGCCCTGCTCCTCACAGGCTTACACAACCATGTCACAAGATTACATAAGCTGTTTCTGCTTTGTATTCAGTCTCAGCTTTCCCCTTTACCTAGACGGCAGAGATCCTTCTCTCCTGTCTAGGTAAGCACCCTGTCTTCATTCATTCTCTTCTCATTTCCTTTCCTCCCTTTCCTTCACTTGTAGATACTAACCAGAGATCCTTCTCTCCTGTCTAGACTGCAATTCAAACTCACTTTGGTACTAGAACCTCTCTTCAGGAGCTATTGAGCCCCTTGGTCTAGTGCTTTTCAGACAGCCAGTGAAGGACTCGACGGAGTCCTTACATCATGGTCAACTGTTTGTGAGCTTGTCTTGAGTAAGACAAGACTCAAGAGTGCAAAATGGTTTTGCTACCCAAGTTGGCCAGGATGAAAGAGTAACAAATTTTGTGAAGAGGCACTTGTTTAAAAGGGATTAAATCCTAAACATATGCATAAATCTGGATAGGTTTGTGTAATGTAGTAGACAAAGGCAATAAATGAGATGTTTTTGTATGGGTCTTAGTTAAACGACTCCCAGAAATTGGAGTTCCAACTCCCAAATTTCTGGGACATCTAGAGGACCATCTGTGGACGCTCCTCCAGACGTCCATGGGAGTCGGACCTCCAAAACCTTCATAGGGTTTGGGAGTTGTTCCCCTTATAAAAAAAAATAATAATAAAATAAAAAAATGAAAAAATGAAAAAAGTGAAACCCCCCCGGGGGTTTTTGGGAGTCGATCCGCCACAAACCCCAAGGGGGTTGAGAGTTGGCTCCGGGAAGATGCCCTCAACGGCCAAGAGGGATTACTCTTGGCCACTGAGACTGTATGCTCTCAACGGCCGAGAGGTATTCCTTTAGGCTGCTGAGAGTGTACGACTCTCGGCTGCTGAGAGTGTACGACTTTGGGCGGCCAAGAGGGATTCCTCTTGGCCGCTGAGAGTGTGTGCTCTCAGCGGCTGAGAGGGATTCCTCTTGGCTGCTGAGAGTGTACAGCTCTCAGCAACCGAGAGGAATCCCTCTTGGCTGCTGAGAGTGTACAACTCTCTGCAGCTGAGAGGGATTCCTCTCGGTCGCGGAGAGTGTACACTCTCAGCAGCCAAGAGATCCCTCTTGGCCGGCGAGAGTTGTACACTCTGATTCCTCTCAGCCGCTGAGAGCATACACTCTCAGTGGCCAAGAGGTATTCCTCTCGGCCATTGAGAGCATACACTTTCAGCAGCCAAGAGGTATTCCTCTCAGCTGTTGAGACCATTCACATATTTATTTCATTTTTATTTTTTTAATTTTTATTAATTTTTATTATTTTTATTATTTTTTTGTTAGGGGAACGACTCCCAAACCTTTTGAAGGTTTTGGAATTCTGACTCCCAATTCCGGGGTTGGATGTCCTGAGGACCATCAGCAGACGGTCCTCTTGACGTCCCAGAAATTTGGGAGTTGGAACTCCAATTTCTGGGATTTGTTTAACTAAGACCCTTTTTGTATTTAATAGATGGCAGTGAAGCCACCTTTAGACACTAGTTGATATATTAAAAACAGAGAAATGTGTCAACACTCTGTTTTTCCGGGTAGCAGTTCCCCAGATCCCCTAATTTTTTGTGACGGACACTGTCCCCCTGTTCCCAGTATCAAGGCATAGTGTTGGGACGAAAGGTAATGAATCAATACCCTACACACAGCCCTGACCTGGTCCACCCCCGCAGGCCACTTTTCTGACCACCACACCTCCTCCTTTTATACCTTAGTCACCCACCCTCAACCTATCCCATTCCTCTCCAGCCCCTAATCCTCAATATTTCCTGTTGATGGCAATTTACAAATCCATTATATTTTACATTGCCACATAAGGCACTTCAAACTGTGCTTCACTGCAAATGCGATTATATCAGATTCCCACATCTGGCATTGCATCAGATGAAAAAATCCGATTATACATCAGGCAAAACTGGTATTATATTTATCAGGAGTGATATTGTATCTAACTAAAACCATGTTATATCTATCATAACAGATATTGCATCAGACCAACCTATTTAATGTCAACATAACTGATTTTATATCAGATTTTTACATCTGATACAAATTTTTAGCCCATGGGCATCAAATCAGATAGAAAACTCTGATATGAATTCAGTTATGTTGACATTGAATAGGGTGTTCCAATGTGATATCTTTCATGATAGACACAATATCATTTTAGGTAGATACAATATCAATTCTGGTAGATACAATCCCAGTTTTTCCTGATGTAATATCAGATATTTTTATCTGACATAATGCCAGAAGTAGCAATCTGATACAATCATTTTGGAAGTGCTTGGATTACTCTTAGCTTGTCTCCTACTCCTGGTCTTAGCAACTGACTTATCCTCCTCCTTTTTCCCGGTCCTTGGCTCCAAACTCCAATCCCTTTTACGGATCCCTTGACCAAAACAACATCCAGTCTTAAATCTTCTGTCTATTTTACCTGCTCCCCAACCTCTACTTTGATCTATGCAAGTCCTAAACCGGATCTTATTTCCCAATAAGAGTTGCTTCCGAAATTCAACTCAAATTGTCCTCAACTTCTGTATTACCTAGCCCCAGTTGCCAAATCTTTATCCAATCCTGACCCTTCCCATAACCGGCCATATGATTCCTGGCTCTTCTTCCAATCTTGACCATTCAACATCACCGAGGTCCTGCTCCTGCTCCCTATTGGTCTGGTTCAGCTTCAATTCCCAAATCATTTTCATCCCCTGTAGTATCCCATAATTGGTCATTCAACTTGCGGCCTAGCTGCCAATTTCGACAACTAAGTCCAACATGCCGGAGCTCATGCTCCTGTTTCCTATTCATCTGATCTAGCTACTCGATACGTGTTCCCGGCCTTTATGACTACCTTCTGTTTCAAGATCTACAATCTGACGTTTCTCAATCATCCAATGGCTCCGCTCGCTGAATGCTTTACCGCCATCAGGTTCCAAGGCATTCCAAATCAAGCGACTACAAGTGATCTCAATGCTAATATACTACCCAGTTGCGTAAAGCCTGTCCAAAAAAGTGCCTCTTTTTAGATAGAGAATTGGAGGATGATTGGTTACATAGGAATGCTAATTGAAGATAAATATCTCTCTGAACAGATCAAACATCTTTACTTCCTTGCATCCAATCAACTTCAATGCCTGGAAGAGAAATTGTAAGCTTGAGAAGGGGCCATGAAATAAATGTCGGGACTTACAGGAACTTGGATGGTGTTGGCCAAAATGTGAGCGCATGGTTTAGAACCGGTGATGATTACGTTACCACATATTTCAATGTTGGGGCTTAGATAAGAGGCCAGGACTTTGTGATAATAGTTTGTTATTGGGTCTGAGACGGGGATTATCTCTGACAAAGGTGAAGGTTTTTACAGCAAGTTCTGAGTGGTACATGGTAGAATAGCAAAAGTATCAGGGGTATTTTGTTAGGAGGGAGACATTGACCTTGGAATCAGATCAGTTGAAGAGTTTAAATTGGTAGTGCAGTGACTGAACTGACATCAACACAAAAGATGTTGGAAACAGAGTATTGGGAGAGCAGGCTCCTTGAACCAGATTCCATAACCACAATCTGATTTATATAACCAAACTACAATTGTACTAAAACCAGTGTAAAGGGAATGGTTCCGTAACAAGCATTTGGACTGGTCTATTGACCTGGTAAAGTTAGAGGGAGTAGGACCAGTAGTAGTGCTAATTTAAGGCTTTTGCATGTTGCTTTATGCTGATCTAGATCAAAGTGAACCATGGTTCTGTCACTGAGGTCGGGCTCAGGTCAGGTTCTTAGTGATAGATTAGAATGAGACTCACTTCCTGTGAACCAGAGGGGCTTTGTAGAGGTATCAGGTACTGGTATAGTTCAGGATACACGGCGAAGCCACGAGTTCCCTAGTATCAATATATATACATCATACAATTTGGTGCTGAACTTGAAAACTTATAATGTATAACAATGGGTCCAAACAGGGCCTACAAAGTTAGTACTGTCATGCTCCTAACTGCCTTGAGTACCAGTGAGAAAAAAAATTGAAGTCATGCAAGGCCTCATTGGCCTGTTAAGTAATTTAAAAAAGTGGTGGAAATTTCTGTCCACCCACTGTAGAGTTTGTCACATACATGTCACGACTCCCCAACTTGGAGTTGGTTCAAGATTTGCACCTTGTGTATTCTATAAACATACCATCTTCAGGAACAAGAACCCTGAAAATCATCACCTTCAACACACCTAACATATTGTAAGATCAACATCCTCCAAGACAAAGAAAGAAACACTCAACAAATCACTCCTCAAACCTTGAATCTAAAGCTTGGTAATCTTCACCTCAACTTTGAAAACCCACCTCTCAAACCTTGTTTATAACTCCTCTGAACTTTGAAACTCACCCCTGCTCTTTCTTACATTACTCACAGGACCCCCCAGGAAGCCCCTTTGAAGGGGAGTGATAACCACACTCCACCCCCCTTCGCACACACACTCCCACACTCCCTTCTCTGAAGGGAGTGTGGGACCGCACGCCAATCAAAATTGGCGTGCGGACCTGCACGCCAGCCGCCTGCGCGGGCATTACCTCAGCAGGTTGGCGTGCGGGTCCGCACGCCAATTTCGATTGGCGTGCGACGCTGCACGCCAACCGGTAAGCGAGGCTGCATCGCTTGCAGGCAGGCGTACAGCCTACATCCCATATTCTCGACTAAACCCATATGCATATGGGTTTAGGTCGAGGCATATCCCATAGGAC